ATTTGCAAACGACAGCTGTCCCTTCGACCATTGTCCCATTTACGGCACAGGACTCCATCCTGAATCAGCAAGCTGTCCCATTGGGCCCAATAGCTTTTCGTGGTTGAACTCATCGCTGAGACGTCCCTCCACTTAGGCTTGGTAGCACGGGCTTTCATCCATCCCAGAATCGGCTTGATGTCCGGATCTTCCTGCTGTGCATGTCGTAGGCTGTCCTTCCACCCGTTGCTGAGGTGGTCTGTCCTGAGCATCCTCACGGATACCACTTCCTTACCCTCTTGCCTACTACAATGGTTGCAATCTTCAGGACAAGGTCTTCTTGTCAATGCATCTGCGTTGCCGTGAGATTTCCCGCTGCAGTGTCTGATAGTAAAGTCGTATTCCTGCTGCTGCTGGGCGGTGCTGTTAGCCGCACTTCCTTTCTGAGACCGTTCACCTTCCCTTCCTAGGGTGTGCTTATGGCAGCTGGACCGAAGATGGCCCCTTTCCCCACAGCCATAGCACCTAGGGCTGTATCTTTTATTGTGGTCGCGAACCGTAACTGCTGTAACCTCCCTAGCGTGAGGTGAACGATGATCCTGTCGCCGCCAGGCAGAGCCGATAGCTGTACTACCCTCTCGAGATCGATCAACTCTCCTTTCCACGGTTAGTTTAGGGCAGCTGGATCGAAGATGGCCCTTTTCCCCACAGCCATAGCACCTAGGGCTGTATCCTTTGCTGCGGTCACGGACTGTAGCTGCTGCAACCTCCCTGACGCGATGGGAATGATGATCCTGCCGCACGGCTTCCACTTCCAGTGCATGGGCCAAGGCGTCCTTAAGCGTCTCGTGGTGCCCGAGCCTCACAGCAGCTCTGACTTCCAGGTCGCGGATGCCGTCGATGAATGTCTGCACCAGGTTCCCTTCAATGAGCGCAGGTACAGACCGGTATGCTTTTCGCACCAGCTTCTCCACTTCTAGAGCCCACTGCTGCAGGTTTTCGTTGATGCGCTGCACACGATCTTTAAGCTGCGCACGAAAGACGTGTTCCAGGTGAGCGTCGCCATATCTCGCCTCCAATGCCTCAAGGAGTTGCTCATAAGTCACTTCCTCACCGAGAGCTTCCAGAACTGTTAAGGCCTGGTCACGCAGGCCTAGTGTGAGAGCAGTCATGGCCTGATTTTTATTCCAGCCGTTCGCCTTCATAACAGCCTCGAACTGGATTTTGTAGGCTGACCGGGAAGAAGTCCCGTCGAACGGTGGCACTTTGAACCCACGTAGCGAAGGTGTAGTAGCTACTACGGGAGCTGTAGTTCCATCACCCAGTTTGAGGTCGTCCAGCGTTTTCTTCACGTCAGCCACCACGTAATCAACCCGATTGTTCACTTGGTCGATTTGGGTTTTAGCTTCCTTGATTTGGGTTTCAGCTTCCGACAGGCGGTTGTCATGTTGAGCAACCTTATCCTTCACCTCCTTTATCTCTTTCCCAAAGGTAGCATGAAGGTCCTTAATGAGGAGCATCTGCTCTTCCGACCGACGGGCCTGTTCCTCCTGTCGGCGGGCCTGCTCCTCTTGTCCGCCCCGCAGCTGCTCTTTCAACTGACGGACCTGTTCCTCCTGTCGGCGAGCCTGTTCCTCCTGTCGGCGAGCCTGTTCCTCCTGTCGGCGAGCCTGTTCCTCCTGTTGGCGAGCCTGCTCCTGCAGCATCACCATCAGAGCACCTAAGTCAGGTGCTGCAGATGTAGGAGCTACCGACGGGCCTGCAGCCGGTGGCTGGCCCTCCGACGTCTGCGGCGTTGCACCACCAAATCTTCGTTGGTCCGTCTCCTGCTGGCGTTGACTTCGGGTACGGACACCCTCGGTTTCCTCCTTAGGTAAAATCGGCATGATTTTATCCCACTTCTGACACCAATTGTTACGAGCTTGAGGTTCGTGACAATAAAAATTGCCGATAAAATTACCTAAATTAACACTTTAATTTACTTTACACAAATTAAAGTTAAAAACACTAATAATTAAACACACTTATTCACTTTATTCCGCTCCGAAGCTTCGCTTGTTTCGCCAAATCAACACTACCTCGATCGCATCTTGCAGCGCCTATATATTTAAATTAGCAAAGAAATATCCAGAATGTTCAAGTAAACACGCGCAAGGTACCGAGCGTTCGAGTTTCGACTAGGCGCTGTCGGTTAAGTGATTTGTGATGTCATTTTCTCAATGCTCCCCTCGCTCTCGTTCCTGACACTAGATGGCGCTAGTGTATCGTTGACTTGAGTGCGTAACAATACTCTTTAATCAGGTAACTTTTGCCTTAGAAAGTGGCAGTCTAATAGCCTCAAAATTTTAGAGTCAGTAAACAGTATCCAAAATAAGCACTCAGAAAAGGCACTTAACCTTAATAAAAGTTCAAGCAAAACACTAGGACTATTCTGAGACTCACATGTGGACAACCTTTTCCTTTCAATTGAACTACGAGCTATAAACAAAATAATAAAACGCATTGTTTTATCCTTAATAAGTCAGGTGTTTGATCACCTTGGGTCGTTGGATCATGCATTGTGCAAGCCAAAATTTTAATTCAGCAGCTTTGGATACATAAATGTGGTTGCGATGAAGACGCTCCAGCTGAAATAAAATATAATATATAAATAAATCCTTATCTAAACTCAATTTGAATTCCCCGTTGAGTTTCATGTATAAACACTTCTTCGATTGAACTTCACATCTTCACAGATTCTTCCGAATGAGCTTACGGCACCTGTGTGTATGTTCGATCAGTCGCAGAAGACGGAACGGTTTGTGTTTTACTGTTAATCTCCAAAAATAAGATAGCACCCATTAAGCCAACAACTATACCACGCTTATGTGGTGCTTTATTGGGGACACAACTATATACCAAGGTACTGAAGTCCCTTACCCTTCAATTTAGAATATCATTTTTCTGGTGTGACTCAACAATCGTTCTTGGATGGCTTTCCACAGAACCCACTCGACTTAATCATTTTTGTACGTAACAGAGTTTCTGAGGTGCAGGAGGCTACGATCGGCTAGACGATGAGCTACGTGCCTACCAAACTGAATCCTGCAGATCTCGTATTGAGGTGGGCGCTCACTTTGGTGGTTGGTCGTTTTTTTATTCATTATTCTCTCCCACTCATTACGTTACCCGAAACTTAACAATATAACTTTGTCAAAAAGTAATGTACCAGATCACAGTAAAAATGTAATAATTCTATTAACTTACAAACCTTTATCATTTACCAAATTAATTAAAACCTTAGCTTACTATATGTCATTAGATTTATTCATAATTTCCTATTTCCCAACAACAACATTTTATCTCACTTGTCTTATTCAGAATTACAGGGTTCGCAAAATCTTATTTTGCGATTTGCTTAGCAGGAAATGTTCCCGGAGGAATAAAATACTCTTAAATCTAATAAAATATTACGCAGTACAAATAGATTAAATAACCTCTCTCCATTTATTGATTCTTGCAACATATTAAAAACTCAAAAACAATAACAATTTCTTACCACCCGCAATCAAATGGACAGGTAGAACGATTTCATCAGACATTGGAGAGATACCTAGCAAAAGTTGTAGAAAATCGGTAACAAGATTAGGACAAGCACATACAACTTTTTGTTGTCATATCGAAGCACTGTTCATCACAGCGACACCAGCATTCGCAAACTTTGGAAGAGAATTACGGTTGCCTGTAGACCTGATCAACGGAATACCACCTAATGGGGCATTGCACGCAGTATAGCCGATTATGCAAATGACTTGCGGAACAAAATGAATGACATTTATGAGCACGTCAGAAAATCGGGCCAGCAAATGTCTGAAAAGATGAAAACCCAGTGTGACCGCAAAATGAACAACAAAGTCATCGAGAAGTTTGCTAGTGTGGTTGCACAATCAGTGAGAAAGGGGTAGCTTCAAGCTAAGGACGGACCGTACCGGATTATGACAAGGATCAATGACGTTCCATACCGGGTGTAAAAAGATGTACGAGGTACACCTAAGATCGTCCATGTGGATCGACCGTTGCGTTACTATGGGCCGATAAAACTCGGGACGAGCATGCCTTAGGAGGGGGCAGTGTTGCAAGCCATAGTCAAAGCCGCTAGCGCCATCTAGTGTCAAGAAACAGAACTAGAAGAGCTTTCTAGAAAATTCCATACTAAAACTTTCCCATTAGCACCATCTAGTATCAAGTAGCAGAACTAGTAGAGCTTTCTAGAAAATTCCATGCTAGAGCTTTCAACATTATACTCGAACATTCTAGATGTTACAGTAGAAAAGGTCCTATATAAGACTTGTATTGACCGCGACCCGGGTCGGTATTGACTTAGCAAATCAAGCGAATACTTCGAAGCGATATATCTGTGACCTAAATTGTTAAATGTGATTAATTATTAGTGTGTTTTAAGTTGTAATTTGTGTTCGAGAATTAAAGTGTCAATTTTGGTAATACACTCGGTAATTTTTATTGTCACTAACCGTAAGCTTGTAACAGTACCATAAAGGTAGGTTATACAAATATTCAAAATCAACTAGCATAGGTAAGTGTTCCCAAGCAGCATCTGAAGCTCTTGGATCAGAGAGCTAGATAAATTTTTTAAACTTAAGAATTGAGTTAAAGATTCGTTTAATAAGACGTTAGGCTGTTTTATAAATCTAGAAAATCCTTTTCACTCTGATCCTGAACTGTATAAAAAGTATTGTGAATTTACCCAAGAAATTGTTGATTCAGGTCATGTTCATTGTGTTTTAGACTTTCTACGCGCAGAAAATGGACAGCGTACCTACTATATGCTGAAACTAGCGGTTCTGCGGCCAGACGCTGCGACCACGAAGTTAAGACTGGTTTTGAATTTTAGTTTCCCCTCGTCGTCGGTTTTAAGTTAAAATAATATACTGTACGTAGGACCTGGTGTATAACCTAATCTATTGACGAACCTAATACGATTCAGAAGTCACAAACACGCATTTATATGCGACTTTAAGAAAATGTGCCGACAAATTAACACTAAAAAGTATCAGACGCTGCAAAGAGTGCTCTGGCGCGACAATCCGCAGGATGAATTAAAGTGCCTTCAGCTAAGCACAATCACATACGGGACTGCCCTCGTTAGTTTTCTGGCCACTCGTACATTAGTTGAGTTGGTCAAAGATGAAGGGCACCGTTACCCCCAGGCAGCCGATACAATTAAATCTAACATCTACATGGACTATTGTCTTAGTGGTCATGATAATTGCAAGATTGCCCACTCATCAATGATTTAGCTGGATCCTGCGAATGATAAGTTTCAGGTTGTGAGTCCTCAAAATTTTAATAACACTAAAAACATAAAACGCAATATTCTTGCACGTATTGCCACAATATATGATCTGATGGGATTCATCGGTTCTGTGACTATGCAAGCTAAATTGATCATGCAAGCGATTTGGCGTGAAAGCATCGGTTGGGATTATGATGTTCCAGGCAAAATACTTAGGTTCTGGAAAGATTTTTGCAGCAAGTTGCACTATCTCAGCAATATATCTATCCCCCGCTTGATGATAGATCCAGAACGTAATCGTCTGGAGCTTCATGACTTCGCCAACAGCTCAACCAAATGTTTCGGTTGCGCGGTCTATGCGAGGAGCTGCTCACTTAAGAATAGAGTCCACTTAATATCCTCGAAGTCCCAAGTAGCCCCAATTAAGCCTGTGACATAGATTAGAGCTCTGCGCCGTCGTGTTGCAAACTCAGCTTACGGATTCCGCTTTCAAAGCGTTACTAGTACTAATAATCAACGTAGTCAGTATCTAATATTGGACAGACTCCATGATAACTTTGTATCGGATTCGTGAAGATCCGAATAGGTGCAACCTGTTTGTGGCAAATCATGTTAGTTTAATACAGGAACAGACCACTATTGATATCTGGCATCACGTGGGTACCGAGGATAACCCCGCTGACTTGATATCCAGAGACTGCGATTTGCTGGTGCTAGCCAATAGCGAAGTATGTCTCGGCGGGCGCAGCTGGCTGGACGAACGCAGCGCAGCGCGCACGCTCGCGGCCCCCAACTAAAGTAATGCTATTATTAGCCCCACCCCAGAGCAACGAAGTGTAGTAACCGTTTATCTAACGGTCGAAAAATCTTATAGTGAAACTATATTCGAGAGATCCTTGTACTGGTCAAAATCAGGTCAAAATCATTGTATGTCTTTTCGCGTCTTCTGCGTTTTATAGATAACCTGAAAGGAAAAGTTAAACACGAAAATAAGTTTACAGGAATTATCACTGTCGTGCGTGCGTGATAGCGCGAGACTGCCCTCCGTGTTATAGTTTCTTTAGCACTACGGTCGCACTTCCTCACGAATAGCACTTATTGTCTAATTCTGATTTTAGCGGGTACAAAGACTACACAAACCAACATTTAAAATATCTTAATATATTTTCAGATAACGGTGTTCTGCGTGTTGGATGCATTAGACACTCTGATTTGCCTTCTCATAAGAAATTTTCCATGTTGTTACCAACTTGTTGTCAAGTAACAGTTCCCGTTCTCAGGTACAAGCACCTGCGGCTGCTGTACACTGGACCACAGATGACGCTGACTAGCGTACAGACAGATCGTACAAAAATTAAAAATTTTTTTGTTTTATTTTATGGACTTTACTAAAATTGACACGTTAATTACCGAGCACCAATTAAAACTTAAAACACACTATTAATTAATCACAATTAACACTTTAGTTTACTTTCTTTCACTCCAAAGTCTTCGCTTGTATCGCCAATACAATACTGCCCACGTCGCGGCCCTAAACGGCTTTATATATGCATTTTCCACCGAAACGTCTAGAATATTCCAGTAAATACCGGTCCCGATAGACAAAACGTAGAAAATTTGAGTTTGGAATTTATACATACCCTTTTGTGATGATAGGCTTACAAATCCTGCTTTCCTTAATGGCAATAGGACCTTCGTAAGTTCAGTTGTTAGCAAAGGCCTATTAGGGGTTATGCGATACTTTGGCAGGTCGGCCATACGCTGGGTACTGTTATACGGGGCTTCACGAAATGTCTTTAAAAAAAAACTATTTAGAAATTGTACTGGATTTAATTATAGAAAGACACAAAATAAGAATTGAATTTTGAGAGGCGAGTGTTTCGGATGAGAGTGTATGACGGACTGACTTGTCTTGCTAGTATTGTAATAAGAAAGTACTGAAGCTACTAAGAGAGTGCTGACTGTGTGCTTTGTGTCAGCGGATCCCTAGTAAAAGGGGATCTATAACAACCCCCCGTTAGGGAGGAAACTCACCCTTGAGTGAGTTTACGGCTACTCTATTCGTAGCTGTGGTTGATCAGCGTGATGATGATTTTCTGTATTTTCTCTGTTAAAATTAAAATGCTCTCTGAAAGACTTTCCTCTCTTACAAATTATATAAGTTATAATAGAAATACAAAATGTTACAGATATAAGACTTATTATAGAGTAACTAACATTATACAAATTTGGATTTTCTAAGGTGTCTAGTCGTTTGATAATTTGATCGAAATCAGTGTCATAAGATTTTAAATTTTCTAAATTCAAAGTTTTTACATTTATAGAAGACGTAAGGTTAACTGAAAATTTGTTAAAGTTACTTAACTTACAACAACTATCATTAATTATATTAAAATCCGAATATATTCCGGGAATATTTATACTAGGATAGAGCTTAGTTTCTAATTTCAGATTCTTATGGAAAGCTACGCAATCAGGTGGAATGTTGAGTAAGCCTGTACCGAATAGAGTATATTCGGTTAAATTATTACTACACTCCACTGATAACTTTGTGGGTTTGGTTTGAACAAAAATCCATTTGTTATTGTTTAACTTATGCCATATGTCCGGATCACCAGAAACTAGTTTAAATGGACAGTTATCTGGGATTGATGTCAAGGCTTTCGTCATAATTTCTATTTCGCAGTGTAAATTATTGGATACTGTAGCTACATCTATAACATCACAAAGGTAGGTATTTGTAGGGACACTTTTACAATTATTTATGTCTTGTAGATAAACATAACTTGTTTTATCTTTACTTAGCGCTACAAACTTTCCAGAAGGGATGATCATGGCAAAAGAGTTTGCTCTATCTTGAGCATGTGGAGTTGGCAAAGGTAAGTTCTTATATATATTATATAATAATAATATAATAATAATAATCATTTATTCAAATAAAAGTACAATAATAGAGTGAAGACTCTGATTCCCAAACTAGACAAGTCTGTATCTTAGGAATCAGTGGCCTCTCCCAGTGTTGTGACAACAGTATTTTAGTCTTAACAATTAATTAAGTAACTAAGCTTTACATTTTTAAGTAATTGTTTAGCTAATTGAATGTATTTATTTACAACGAAACATATACTTTAACTTAATGCGACTCTTTAGTCGTTATTATATTTCATATAATCGTAGGTATATTAAAATTAGTTTGCAATTTGCAATATATATACATATACATACACACACGTATATACATATACATACACATACACATATATATATATATATATATATATATATATATATATATATATACATAGAATATATAGAATATATTATTATATAATTTCATACAGAATATATATTTTATTCATTATAACCTATAATAAATAAATAGATGCTTTAAACAAAGATTGCTATTTTTAATTTCATAATTTTAAAATTTTATAATTTTATTATACTTTTATTATACGACATACATTACTACATGTTAACAAATTATATTTTCTGTTTTACTATAATCAAGTGACAATAACCAATCTCGAACTTTAACTTTACATTCATGTCTGGAAAGAGGATAAAAATTTAGATTTCTATTTAATTTATTATAAAGCACTGAGGATCGATATGAACTTTGTCGCCTAGAAAAAGCAGTTTGACATCTGCCAATAATCATTACATCCGGTATTCTGCGTTTATTACGACAGATCTCAGGGTTATAAGGAGTTAGAGCATGTTTCATTAAGATCAGTTGTTGGATATACAATTGCCTAACAGTCAACAGTTTGCATTCTTGGTAAAGCAGATTTGTAGGATACCTGAACGGTTTAAAAGTCATAGTTTTTAGGAGACATCTTTGAGCTCTTTCTAATTTTATCATAAATGTTTTGCATGCTCCACCCCAGGCAACTATACAATAACCTATAATTGATTGTGCTAAGGCGTAGTATACAGTTCTCAATAAATCAAAGTCAGCGATGTGCCTTAGCCTTTTAAATGTCCAAATAAGAATCCTAGTGCGCGATGAAATAAGGTCTATGTGTGGGAGCCAGCTTAGTTTCTCGTCTATAATTACTCCGAGATATTTAATTGATTTGGATTTCGTCATTTTAGGGCAAAGGCAAGTATCTGTTGACTGTAAACCACAAGAGTGTACTGTTAGTTGTATATCGTTAACAGTTTGGGTGTTGGTTATATGGAACTGCATATAGGTGGACTTTGATATATTAAGAGTCAGTAGATTCTCCTCAAGCCAATTTGCCACAGATTGAAGACCCCTCATCGCAAACTCCTGGACCTCAGGCCAAGTCTCTCCGTAGAAAATTAAGGCTGTATCATCAGCATAAGTAAATAGCTTGCCTTGAGTTAGTGTCATTGAGCACAGGTCGTTGATGTAAATTAAGAAGAGACTTGGTCCCAGGATACTGCCCTGAGGGACTCCAAATGTGACACAGGCGTCTGAGCTAATAATTTTTTTTATTTTTACTCTCTGCACACGGTCATATAAAAAATCCTTAAAAATGGAAAGGGCAGAATCTCTTATTCCAATTTTTTCTAGTTTGTTTACAAGAATGGGTATCGAAACGGTGTCGAAAGCTTTGGCTAAATCTAAGAAAATCCCTACACACTTCTGTTTATGGTCCAGTTTATTTGTTACAAATTCGGTCAAGTTACGAACAGCATCTTCTGTACTAACACCCGCTCTGAATCCGAACTGCATATTAGATAAGATATTATATTTGTTTAGAAATTTAACCAAACGATTATTAAGCATCCTTTCTAAGATTTTTGAAAGTGCAGGTAGCACAGAGATCGGCCGGTAATTTTCAACAACGTCCCGAGCCCCATTCTTGTAAACAGGAGTAATGAGAGATCTTTTAAAAACTTTTGGAAAGCATCCTTGTTCAAAACAGATTTTAAAAAGGGTTGTGAGTGGCAGAAGTATTTTATCCTTGGTCATTTTAAGGAAGCAAGCAGGAATGGAATCCCAACCAATAGCACAATCATTTCTAAGACCCATCAATATTGTTTCTACTTCTAACTCGTCAGGAGAATCGAGCACAAATGAATTAAGCGACCAGGGTATAGTATTAACATTAGCAGGTTTAGCACCGTTTGCTAGAATTTTATCAGCTAATTTTCTACCCAAAGTTGAAAAATAGTAATTAGCTCTCTCCACTGAATCTATAGGATTTTTAATGATCAAATTTTCAGCGTAGTTATTTTTAGTATCACATCCGGAGATGGCTTTGATTGCAGACCAAGTTTCTTTACTGTTCTTTGCATTTGCCAAAAGACTTTTTTCATATTGGCGCTTGAGCTTACTTAACAAGGAATTGCAGTAATTCCTATAACGCTTATAAGAAATTTGAAGTATTTCATTGTCAGGGTTCTTTTTCAGTTTTTGGTGAAGTTTATCGCGGTGACGGATACACCTTATCAGTCCAGGTGTCATCCAGGCCTTAAGCGTTCGTTTCACTCTAGGAATCTTAATTTTAACAGTATTATTCTTTATAGTAGAGGTTATTAGATCAACAAATTTTTCGGCAGCCGTGTCTGCATTTAAAGTTGGAGATATAAAAGAAAAATCAGCAGACTCTATAGATTTGATGGCATCATCATAATTTATTTTATCAATAAAAATATTATTAGGCTTGCGTTTGGGGTTCAAAGAAACATTTGTTAAGATTAAGGAATGATCAGTGATTACACTATCGAGTACCATTATTTGAGTATTTAATACTGTTTTCACCATAACATGGTCTAAACAATTATTGATACGGGTGGGGTAGGTATGACCTGGTAAAAGACC